AAAAGCCTTTGCAGAATAAAATCCACTTAATGAATTAAAATAATGGGACTAAATATCTGCAAAAGTACCGGGTCAAATTTCGTCATGAAGGTTTCACGAGTTTACGCGCGTAGTATATATTTGTGCTTGCTCATGTTTTGGTTTCTAAACGTGCATGTTTGGACTTAATAAAGAGAATAAGGCTTTCTTCGTATGCAAGGTCCACCTTCATCAATGTTGAAGCTTTTCATTAACCGTACTTCATAAACCCTCTATCTAGTTTAAAATCTTCCTGACTACCAATGCCGAATCAGACGTGCCCTGGATTTACGCAGTCTTCATGGCCAATGAGCAGCCGGAGGTTGTTATTCCCGAGCACGAACAAATTCGCATGCTTAATGCAAACAACACTCGATGGTTGCCAGAACAACATGCCCAGCGGAAAAAGGGGGTGGTAGCTGCTCTAATTTCCAACATGAATCCCAGTAATAAAAGGATGGAATACATTGCTGAACTCGCGAAATACATCAAAGTTACGCAAATTCCATTTTGTTTGCTAAACATTGTGTATAAGACTTGTTTGCGGTGGACAAATTTTTTTTAATTTTGTCATATCTTAAATCTCTGTCTTTTTGTGTTTAAAGTGTAGCTTGTTAAGCAATGTGCTTCAGAAATCATCAAATCGCATACAGTGGAAAACACGCATCCCAAGAAATTTTAATTTGGAGAACAAGAAGATGTTCTTTGGGATATAAGGTAACTTTAGTTGGTGAATTTTCAAGTCTGGTGCCCCAGTTCGTCTTCGGACTAACAGGAAATGTGCAATGAACAAGTAAAAATTTAAAACGTGCGGAAAAAATCAATAGTTTTGCGGGGTGAGACCTGATTGGCAGGTGTTGCCTCGATTAGTCTGTGTCTGTTGTCTCAAATCAATTTAAAAAAAATACGGAAAAAACGTTCCCGAAAAAGAAATGATGATTGGTATAGCAATTTGGTTTTTTTAGGCGTTGTCAGCTGGTTTAGGAAACTAGCAGTTAGACGGCTAAAAGTTATGGTGAGAAACTTGTACTAGGGCACGCCTAAGCCAGTACGTCACACCGCATAGTCGGGAGCATCACTCTGTTAGGAGGAGTCTAACGAGCAGTTAGCAGGCAGCTAGCATACAGGTAGCGAGCCGCACTCATGGCAGGCCATTGGTCGGCCTACACGCTTCGAGCGCATACTGGCGGTCAATCAATCATTACATTAACATTTAAGCTGCAGCCAGCCGTTGAGTCACATGCCAATCGTGCTGCTACCCACGCTAGGACAGAAGCTGATTGGCTCGATGGACATAGTTTTACACGCGTTTGTTTCCCTTAATACGTTGTATCAATGACGTTCAAAGAATTTTGCTTTTGCCCTCCTCTTCTCGTGTTTTTCCTTGGGGGTCACATAAGAAGTAATTAGGCGATGACCTCTTGGCCTTGGCGACCGTTAAAACACATTCTACTATTTCTAAATTAGAAACGTTCCGTAATTTTACTTTGTCAGACACAACTCAGATATTTTCCGCCTCTAAAACTGCGGAAATTATTGCGCTGTCAGACGTTATAGTGTCCTGTGTAGTTTGACTACACACATTGATCGTAAGATTTGCTCATGTTTGGAATTTTTACATCAGCAATCGGATCGTTGTGTAAGAAATTAACTTCTGAATGTTTTTCTACATTTCCGATTGCTTGCTTAGGTTGACCTCTACGGTCGAGGGCGGCGACCCTGTTCACGCGAAGGTGATTCCTGTCTGCGAAACCTAGCACGTCAGTATAAATTTTATCTTGCATTTGAAAATGCACATTGCCAGTACTATATGACGGAGAAGCTCTTCAAGAACGCATTGTTGTAAGTTTAAAACAAGTATTAATTATTCTAAACAAAACTATGTAAATGTTACACCTAAATGAAGAACTGTCCTACAAAACGTAATTGATATTATCGGCATTTCCGGAAATTTCAATTTCAACCAACCCAGCAGTATTATGATTGCAAGCGACAAGACTTGGCAAATCAAAAGGTGTCAGCAATAACGCAGAAGTAATTTGACTGAATTTTAAATTAAAAAAACCCATGAATGTCAGCAGATCGCGTGGGAATGACTTCGATAAATATATGGTCAGGTCAGGTTTAGGTCAGGTTTTATTAAGGGAAATGTAGGTAAATACCTTTGAACTCCCTATTGGTACAGAACAGTTATGCAATGCATTGATTCAGCAGAGCATTTCAAAATAGTTACGTGGTCAGTAAATGGAACTGGGTAAAAACGGGCCGACAGTGAAAAAAAATCCTTAGGCATTGTTCGGCAATTCTAGGGGTTTGAATGCTATCTGAGAGATTATAAGTAGAAAAACTGTCGCCTATGGGAAGGGGGGGGGTAAAGTTGGTAAAAGGAAGAGCATATTTAAGTCGGACGGCCTGTGCTGGAGCCCGTTGCAGTTTTTATCATTTTCCTAAGTGTCAAACGAGGAGAAGATTACGAAGAAAGCCATCGAGTGTCGGAGATGCGCCCGTCGCACACCCTTGCTGGTTTAGCGTGTCTGCTGGCAGGTGACGAAACAGAGGGCCTCATCACGATCCACATCACGATTTAAACCAATTGGTTATGTAAAACCATTTGGAAGAACTTTACAGGGTGGCGTAGCCTAAGACCACAAGGCTCAGTAGATGCGATTTTTGCAGTACTTTTAAAGAGTAGCGTAATATATATATATTCCAAACAAATGTATTACTGAAAAGAAGCGGCGTGGTAGTTTTTGAGGTCTAACTTAATCTTAAATGTGTTCAGAGATGGGGACATGGCAATGTCCGCTAGCGCACCATTCCATGCCTGATTTAGGAAGAACTTAACAGGGCCGCGTAACCTACCCGGGTTTGCTGCAAGCGATTTTTTAAATTCGTATCCACACCTTCTATTATTACATATTATGCGAGGAAAAAAATGATAAAAACAGTTTGCAAGTTTTTTTTATCTTCTTAGAAGTAAACCTGAATTCACATGGAAATAACTTTGCTCAAGATATTTAAAGACTGGTATAGGTTACAATTTCTTTTGCAGCTTATGATGAAATGTGTATACGGCAAGAATCCGGTTATACAATACGCGCCAAAATTCGTGCAACATGCTGACATATGCGAAAGATTGATACTCTTTCGCTAAACGGCATTGACTCAGGTTGTGATACTGATTATCGTGTAGTCCATTCTAAAGTTATTTCAGTCATTATAAGATGCGGGCTTTTTAACGAGCCTCGTTCTGACCACTTATAAAACTTATGTACTGTAAATAGTAACTTCTTAAATAGTATGCGTTTTCACCACTAATATTGACTGCCTTTGTAATATCAAATATATTTTATGAAAAACTTGCACGAAAAATTAATTATTGTACTCGTTTGGTAGAAACTCAAGCTTATTTTATATTTTATACTTAAAGGAAGTGTATTTTTGGGTTTTAAGAAAATTTTCTAAATTGCAGAATAATTTTGAGACCTACTGACTGCCACAATCAAATAAGAGATTAACAAACTGCGCACGGTGTACATCCTGTTAAAGGAGAAATAAGTTTTCGCCTACAGTTGGAGGAAAAAGTCACTTAATTCTCATAAAATTTTGCAATGAATGTGGAGCATGCTTTATACAGTATAGGCAGCATTAATAAAATGACGGATACGATATGTTATGAATGTACCCCTCATAATCGTAAAAAAACTCATGATTAGAGATTTTTCTAAAACAGAAGAATTGCCTTATTTTAACTATGAAATATAAAGAAGGCGCAATCTGCTACCTAATGAGTACAAGAAATAATTTTTCATGCATATTTTCCGCATAATATATTTGAATTTTTGAAGGCAGTCAATATCAATGATAAAAACGTCTTCTATTTAAGTAATTACTTTAAACAGTACATACGTTTTGCTAGTGGCCAGAAC